TTTCAGGGCCTCCGAAACTGTGATAGGTAGTCTGGAAGTGTAATGAGGAAATAAAGCCCTTTAAAAGCCTGAAGGTGCTTATTGGATTTTGGGGTCCTGTACTTGGCTAGACTGCCGAAAAGTCTCTCACATGTGATACCCCCATACTCGCGAGAAGTAGCAGAATGTATTTTGGGGAGTAATTCCACATATAACCATGGCATGTGTGAGCAGTAAATCATTTAAGTGACAATTTAATATTTATTTTTGGCATTTTCCAAAAACTTGTGGTAAAAAAATAAATTCTTCTATTGATTCAACATTCCTCTCAGCAAATAGTTTGGGGTGACTACTTTCCAAAAGGGGGTCATTTTGGGGGGTGGGGGCGTTTTAAGCCCAGCATTAGAAGTTTATGCCACACATCATACACTCTTCTAACCACCTGAAGATCAAGCCTTTTTGTTCACATGAAAAAAATCTGTATTTTTTGCTAGGAAATTAATTTAAACCCCCAAACATTATATATTTTTTTTTAAGCAGACACCCTAGTGAATAAAATGGTGGGTACTACAATTTTTTATGGCACATAGTACTCGCGCAGCGATTTTTCATAAGCAATTTTTAAAAAAAAAATACACTTTTTTTACTTTTAATGCACAAAAACACAATATATTGGCCAATTTTTTGGTAAAATAGAAAAGATAATATGCCGAGTAAATAGATACCAAACATGACATGCTTTATAACTGTGCATGCCCCGTGCAATGGCGACAACATTTTTAATATCCATAGGCTGCGATTTAAAAGCCTTTAAAAGCCACCATTTTAGATTTACAGAGGAGGTCTAGTGTTAGAATTACTGCCCTTGATCTGACGTTCAGGGCAATACCTCACATGCATGGTGCAACCGCTGTTTACATAACGGTACAGGGTCAAGGCTTGTGCACACAGGTGTGCGCGCATGGGAGGGGCAATTTTGTTTTTTTTTTTTTGTTTTTTTTAGTTATTTTGATTTTTTTTTATTATTTTTACATTGTACCTTTCATTTTTTTTTCATCACTTTTAATGCTATAACAGGGAATGCAAATAACCCCTATAACTTCAATGGGCATTGTCATATATTCTTTTTTGAGAAATCTGGGGTCTATCAGACTCTAGATATCTCCTCTGCCCTTACATTATCTAATCAAACCAAAATCGGTGTGATCAGATGCTTTCCCAATTTACAAATGGCGCTGTTTATACCTGCGAAACTGAAGTGATGAAATGCTTGTAGCTTCCGAATTCTTAGACTATAGAGATGATTGGCACCATTCTGGTCTCCAATCAGCTCTATGGTCAGCTGGCAGAAACACCGGCTGCATTCTCAGGTTCCCCTGATGGCAGGGGACTGCCCAAGAAGGCCGTGGAAGGCAGCGGGGGAGGGAAGACATCATCTCCCACTGCTTGCAAAAGCAATCTTGCAGCTAATTAGCTACTAGGATTGCTTTTACATGAAAGCCGATAACCGTATGAAAAAAAACGATACCAGGATGATGCCTGCAGCTGTAGGCATCATCCTGGTATAACCATTCAAATCCAGTGATGTACCAGTACATCGCTGGTCCTTGTTGGTTATATATGCTATGTTCTTTCTTTTTTTTTGTATGCAGCCAGTGGACTGAATGAAAAAATGAGAAGAAATCTCTGCCAGAAAAAGTGTGTGGTATGCCCACCATTAGACTATACCGCCCTGCATCCACCCACTTCTAATGGTGGGCACACATTAGGTCACGCTTTGCCACAAGTGCCAGTTCCAAGATTGAATAAATGTCTAAATAGTGGCACACTTGAATAAAAATTGTCCACGTATAAGTGGTACCCCATATGGAGAAATGATGACACCAAGTCCCAAACTATCTTGCCACTGCTCCCCATGTAGTCTGGGCATCCGGGCGGGCTCCACGTGACTATCTTTTCCCTCGTAAATCCGAAACTTATAAGTATAGCCTGTTGTCCTCTCACAGGTCTTCTACATCTTGACCCCATATCTGGCACGCTTGCTTGGGAGAAATTGAATGCAAGCCGGCCAGAAAAATTAATAAGGGACTCCTCAACGCAGATGTTTTGCTGGGGAGTATAGACATCTGCAAATTTTAGGTTAAGGTGATTTGCGAGGGGCTGAATTTTGTGGAGCCGGTCAAATTCAGGGTTACCCCGAGGGTGACAGAGTGTATTGTCGCTGAAATGGATAAAACACATTATACTCTCATATCTATGCCTGGCCATGGCAGCAGAGAACACGGCATATGATGAATCGGGTCTGCGGACCAATACAACCGCAATTCATTTCTTTTAGTAATGCCCATGTTGAGGGTTAGGCCAAAAAAAAAAAATGTAAATTTGAAAACCGTAATGAGTTTCCATGCGAATGGTCTGGCAAGGTTTGAATTTGGGTTGGCGGCAATAAATTGTTGTGCATATAAACTGCTTTGATCCACAATCAACGCATACAGATATTCCGTGAAAAACAGCTCCAAAAAAAAAGGAGGTATGTGAAAGACCAGGATGTACTAGACCGCTGGTACTCGCCAGTTCAACAAAAGGTAGAGCGGCACTAGTACTGGCACTCTGCTGCATATGAGAGTCATCAAAATTTAACGGAAAGTGCTAACAGAGATCAGCCCTCATTCTGCAAACACTGCGGTTTTGTGTGCAATGTATCAAGTGACAGTGACCTACTGACACTGCACTTGCTGGGGGAGAAGGGGGGGTAAGCGTAGGAGCTAAACGCAAGTGCTGGCAGGTGCCGGGGCTGATCCCGCTAACGCTGCATTTTTGGGGGACGCTATACTAATGTGAACGCTGGTATAGTGCTGAGCTGATCAAAGATATTGACCCGTTCAGACACTATACTAGCAATGGAGGCTTATTGTACATGAGCGTGCTCCTGGCAATCAAGGGGTTAAATGTGATGACTGGTGTACTGACGGGCAATCTGACGCTATCTGGGAGGGATGTGAAAACCACGGGAGCGCGAATCACGTATATATATATATATATATATATATATATATATATATGATTTGTGATTTTGCGTACCCATGCCGCCCTGTAGCAGTATTTCTACTGTAGGGTGGTCAGGAAGCGGTTACAGAAGAGGTTTGTGTTACGGCGCTGCATTACTTTAACTGACAATTGTGCTGTCATGCAACACTGAACCCAAATTAAATTTACATCCTTTTTTTCCCACAAATTGAGCTTTCTTTCGGTGGTATTTGATCGCCTGTGCGGTTTTCATTTTTTGCGCTATAAAAAAAAAGTCTGACAATTTTGAGAAAAAAAAACAATATTTTGGACTTTTTGCTATAAAAACATGTCCAGTAAAAAAAATTAAAAAATCAAATTTTGTCACAAATTTCATCCAAAATGCATTCTGCGACGTCTCTGCTAAAAAAAATCCCAATACGTGTAAATTAAGTGGTTTACATGAAAGTTATAGCGTTTACAAATGGCGGGAAAGATACTGGGATTTTTAATTTTTTGTATACTAATAATGGCGGCGATCAGCGACATATGGCGGAGATCAGCGACTTATGGCAGGACTGCCGGACTGCGGTGGACATATTGACACTGGGTTGAAACTGACTTGGGGTCACTGACATCCCTAGTGACACCAATACAGTGATCAGTGAAAAAAAAAACCCACTGACACTGTACTAATGGCACTGGGGAGGAAGGGGTTAACATTTTTAGTGTTAACTATGTGAGGGGAGTGTTTTACTAGGAGGCGGGGGGTGTGTGCTGGACGGGGACAGGCTGATCTAGAGAGAGAAACTCTTCTCTCCCTCTTCAGCTTGTCACGAGCTGACAGGCAACTGACAGATAGCAGGGCTGTGTATAAACAATGCAGCCCTGCTCTCTGTCAGCGATCGCCGCTAATCGCGGGGAAAACGGCCGGTAATGACCGGCAGTGACCCGGCGGCGGAGACCCGCTGCTGACACCCGCGGGACAGGTAGGGCGAGCGCGCGCCTTGCCCCTACCTGTTTTGCAAAACCACGTTTTAAAATGTGGTTTTGCCCAGCCGTGCCGCCCTTCAACCACTTTTATGCAGTGGCTGGGGCTGAAGAAGTTAATTGATAAATGTGCATCCGGTAATAAGTAAAGTATCTGCAGTACGTAACAGGGGCGGACTGACCATTTGTAAACTCGGGCACTGTAGGGGGCCTGGGGTCAGTAGGGGGCCCCATGAGATGCCCCTGGTACCTTTTTCATAGGCTTTTTTAAGTTTGGGCAAGGACACAGGGGCCCCATGATCCCCTATTGCCCGGAGGCCCCATGAGTTGTCAGTCCACCCCTGGTACGTAATGAAGGTATTAGGCAAAGAAGAAAAGCTAAAAGAAAAAATTGCTTCTCATTCTGATTGCCTGACAGGTTGCAGGATCATGTGTCACCTATTACCTATTCCCTACTATACTGTCAGCTAAGACTGCTGCAGGAAGGCCCAACCTCTTCTACGTGAGATCATTGCTACATAACCAGCAGTGGAAGGTCATCTGAGGATATATTAATTCTGTTAAAATGCAAACATTGCGACAGCTAGCAATGAACTGAAAGGGCATGCACAGGACAGGGGCCTCCATTCTAACCCATACCTGTTAAAGGTACAGCACAATCAATAATGACAATGAGAGATGCTTACAGGAGAATATAGCATACCAGCTGAGTATTTCAGTTTTTCATCTATAAACATTGCTGTAATGCCCCAGTACACCTGGAGATCCTGGAATGCAAAGGTAATAAGAAGTGCTCCTGATCCTGTAGCTCTCTAAATGCTTTCACTATTTGCCTGCAGTTTCTCATTAAGGCTAGGTTCACACCTATGCAGTTTGTGTTTGATCCGTTGCTGCAGTGCTTTTTTTGCGGTGCATTTTGCGTTTTTGCACATGCCGTTTTTGCTGCGTTTTGCTTTTTTTTCCCAACTTGTTGCTGGGCAGATTAACCTCCCTAGCGGTATTCCCAAGTGTAGCTCGGGGTAGAGTTTCAGTACCAAAAGTGGAAACCTCGAGCTACACTCTGGCTTACCATGCAGCGTTGCATAGGGATTCCCTGCAGCGCTTACCTTGTCCTTCGCTCCCACGATGAGTCCCCTGCAGCGTCCCCGGCCATCTCCTCCGGCCAATGCCGGAATCCAGCTTCCATGTTCCGGTCCCTGTGGCGTCGGGGCGTATCGGCGGCAAATTTGAAATTTTTAAAAAATGGCATTTTTAAAAAAATTATAATTACATAGTAAAACATTGCTGTTTTAAAATATTTCACAAACATTTTGTCCCTAGTGCTTTGTCCTGTGCCCTGCCTGCATTTTTACTGTCCTTTCTGCCTGGAAACTGAGAAATGTCCATGGCGTCCAAAAAGCGTCCCTTTATGTCAAAATCGGTTTTAGACCAGCTAAAGAACAGCGATAGTAAATCAGAACCACTTGCAGAATTGAGTGATAATGATTCGTGGGGAAATTCGTCATCAGACACTGAAAACGGTTCTGCGACTTTGCTCAGCGATGTGCGAACTTGGCGCTATATTTCAAATTTCAGTGTTTTTGGTTTGATTATATTATTTAATTAAATTTATTATTATTATATTATTATTTTTTATGATTATTTATTAAATTATAATTTATGATTTTGTGTTTCAAGTTTTATCATATCCGGAATGTTTACTAGACTCTTGTTCGGACAGATTTCAGTGAGTTATTCCTAAATTACAGGCCTACAATAAAAAAAAAATACATATTTCCATGCAAAAAAATGGTACCGCTTTCAGCACCAAAAATCTGAAATAATCATACAGCTAGGGAGGTTAAAACGAAAAACGCATCAAAAACGCATCAAAGAAGCGCCAAAAACGCACTACATGCTTTTCTGCATTGAAGTCTATAGAACCAAAAACGCAACGTTTTGGTGTTAAAAAAGTCCCTGGCCCTTTCCAGAAAACACACCAGGTGAAAATGCAAAGATGTGAACCTGTCCCATAGGAAATCACGTTAAATGGACTGCTGTGCGTTTCTGTAACACCCAACGGAAAACGCATAGGTGTGAACCTAGACTAAGTGGCCATATAAATGAGCCTGAGGACTTCAGAAGCCTATACACCATTTCAGAATCTATGCAGGTGGTTTGATATCTCCCTGAGAAGATGGCTGTTAAGATCCAGGCGTTACCCACATTTACCACTTAAATTTCCTTTCCCCCTTCTAGATCATGTCCCAGCGTGATTTTTTTCTTTTACCTGGTGCAGGAAACAGCTTTTATTACTCCCTGTGACATCATCTTCAAGCCTAAAAAGACCCTGCATGTCTCCCCTGTGCTCTGCTGAATGTAATGCAATGCACATCACACTGCATTACATTCTTTCCCAGCCTCCATGGCTGGGAATCTATGAACGGGGACCTGGAAGTGATATCATAATCAGGGGCGGACTGACAACTCATGGGGCCCCCAGGCAGTAGGGGATCATGGGGCCCCTGTGTCCTTGCCCAAACTCAAAAAAGCCTATGAAAAAGGTACCAGGGGCATCTCATGGGGCCCCCTACTGACCCCAGGCCCTCGGGCAATGCCCGAGTTTCCAAATGGTCAGTCCACCCCTGATCATAATGTCACTTCTGGGTCATGGCACGAAGGAGAGGGGAGTGGACATGTCCACTCTCCTCCCTCCTCTCTAGCCGACAGCGGTGAGCCGATCCCAGGCCCACAGATGGGAAAACGAAGCCCAGGAGACCTCAAGCGGGGGGAGGTTCACGGGGGGGGGGGGGAAGGCTGGCACTGTGTGGAAGCAATTGGCAGTAGCGCTGCCGCCCGAATGCTTCCACCTGACAGGTGCTAAAGGTTAAAAAAAACTACTTGCCCAACGCTCAGAACTACATGTCCCGGGCATCGGGCGATATAAATTCAACATCCCAGCACATTGAAGGGAATTAACCAAGGAAGGAGCAGACATAATCTAAAACAGTTGTGAATGGCAACCAGTCAGCTTGTTACCAGGGGCGGACTGACCAATCGAGAACTCAGGCACTGCCCGAGGGCCCGGGGTCGGTGGTGGGCCCCATGAGATGCTCTTGCTACCTTTCATAGGCTTTTTTAGGTGTGGTTTGAGTGTGGGCAAGGACACAGGGGCCCCATGATCCCCAATTGCCCAGGGGCCCCATGATCCCCTATTGCCCAGGGGCCCCATAAGTTGTCAGTCCATCCCTGCTTGTTACTTTAATTTTTAAAGTGGTTGTAAATCCTTACATATACTTAGTGAAGTGACTGGCCTCAAGTGATACACAGAGATGAAAAAAAATCCTCCTATATAATTTGTACTTGTTTATCTGCCGTCTTCTCTTCTCTACATCATTTCAAAATGCTAACCTTACAAATCTTGTATGAGAGTTAAAACAAGGGGGCAGAGAACTTGCAGTTACATTCTGCAGAGCTCAGTGAGGAGAGCTCTGAGAGCTGATTGGAGGGAAGGGACACGTGACACCCCCTCCACCTTCACACAGCTCACAGGAACCGAGCTGTGGTTGTCACTCTGCTGGAGGTCCCTCCCCTGTCACCATTTTGCTCTTGGTGTCAGGAAAACTTGTCTGAAGTGACTCATGCTGATAGCAGAGGAACAAAGCAGCAGACAGAAATGACACTTGGTGCTCTTAACTGAAACAAGTAAACACTATAGAAGGATTTGCTTTGTTTGTAGTTCATGTCTGAGGTTTACAACCACTTTAACTGAACAAGCTGAGTGTAAGGGATTTCTGACAAGACGAATCGTGATCGGAAATGCGCATGCGCATAGGAATTCCCGGAGAAGAATTACCAGTTGTGCGCATGCACACAGAAATGCACAATCGCGCACACGCATGTTGCCATGCACACGCACGGCGAAGAATGGCGCCAGACGGCCTATTTAAAGAGTGTCTCTGCCCATGTTGAGTGCTGACTGGTCTCCAGCTCCCCCGTGTCCTGCTTGTTCCTGTGTGATTCCTTTGTTGCTGACCCGGCTTGTTCCTCACCTGACTCTGATTGCTCTCCTGATTGATACTGGTTCCTGACTTCGGCTCTGCTCCTGACCTTGGCTTTCCTCCTGATTCTGTACCATGCTGCCCAACTGTTGATGACCCTGGCTATTCCCATGACACTGCTCCTGTCTCTTACCCTCACTACCTGCCTTGCTCTGGTGCATGCCTGGCAATCTACAAGACCTGCTCTGCTTGTTACTACTGTGCCTGAATCAGAAGATCATCAATCTTCCAGAGTCATCATCTGCAAGAGCTGCAAACAACAACTACTGGCGTTCTTGTTCCCCTGGGTCCTAGACTCCCTCCGTTCCAACTCCAGTGGGGTTAGGGCTAGTGACACAAGTGAGGCCGACCTCGTCATTTCAGTCTCCAATCAGGTACGTGACAGTACCAGTCAGCCAATGATGGAGTCTGAAAGGGAGGCCTCTACATTGGGGGACATTTGTCAATCAGTATCTGCCTTATTTTACTTGGTGCAAGATTTGCAGAGAAACTTTGAGCATCTGGAGAGTCAACTGCTAACCAAGTCTAATGACCCAACAGCCATGGATCTCACTGCAGCGTTCAGTATGATCTCTGGAACTCCTTCCCTGCTGGAACCCCAGGTGCCTACGCCTGAGTTTTTCACGGGAGACCGCAGGAAGTTCAGAACTTTCCGTAACTCCTGCGAGCTATATTTTTCCCTGCTTCCAAGGACCTTTACATCACCAAGCACCAAAGTGGGGTTCATCATCACACTTCTTAGGAATGAACCCCAATCCTGGGCACACCACCTTCGTGAGCAACATGATCTGGCTCTAACTTTGGTGGACTCTTTTTTCACAGCAATGGCACAACTCTTTGCTGATCTGTTCCTGTGTCAGACTGCTGAATCCATGCTCAGCAAGTTACAGCAGGGCCAAATGCCTGTTGAGGAATATGTTACCGATTTCCGCTTCTGGAGTTCCGATACTCAATGGAATGAGTTTGCTCTCCGCTACCAGTTCCGTCTTGGCCGTTCTGACACCCTGAAAAATGAGCTTGCCCGAGTGGGGGTACCAACCAGGCTGGAGAACCTGATAGACTTGACTATCCACATTGACCATCAGATTCGGGAAAGACAGGATGAGAAAACTAATGGGGAGATTCTGATATGTTCAGAAATGGGGACCCCTGTGCCCTCTACGACTGCTGTTCCATAAGAGTTACCCATTAATAAAAGAAAACATCTTAATCCATCTAGAAGGAACTTTTGGAGACCACAGTTGTCCGCTGCAGAACGTATTCGACGACAGAAGTTCAATCTCTGTCTCTACTGTGGTGACGCAGGTCATTATGTAGTGACGTGTCCAATAAGACCTCATAAGCCCTCTCCCAGCTGGTTCTATATGATGCATCCCCAAAGAACAAGCCGAACACATCTCTCCTTCCACCTTCAACTACAACTGGCCAAAAGGACGATCACGGTCCCGGCCATTATAGACTCGGGTGCTTTTAGTTGTTTTATGGATGCAAACTTCGCTACCCAGAATAAGATTCCGCTCCGTACCAAGGCACAAAGACTTTTGGTTCATCTTTTGGATGGGTTCGGTATTAGTTCTGGCCTTGTGACACAGGAGACTGTGCCAATGTTATGCCTCACCTCCTCGGGACACCAGGAATTTCTGTGTCTGGATATTATTACTTCCCCGATATTTCCAGTTATTCTCGGCATGCCCTGGCTAAGAGCACACAACCCAACCATCAATTGGTTGTCTGGAGAGATCCTCTTTCCTTCGGAATACTGTCTAAATCACTGCATTCCTAAAGAACCAAGTGCAGCAACCCCTCTTCTTAGTATTCACTCTGATCCCGAGACCATGAAACTCCTTCCTGTTGTTTACCATGATTATCTGGACGTATTTAATAAAAAGAGTGCTAATACTCTTCCTCCACATCACTGCTATGATTGTCTGATTGAGCTCCTGCCTGGCGCCGAAATTCCTGTCGGACGAATTTACCCCTTATCTGAAGTAGACATTGTGTGGACTACCATGACCTGAATAAAATAACGGTCAAAAATTGTTATCCCCTTCCCCTAGTTCCTGAGTTATTCCAAAGGCTATAAGGAGCATGTTTCTTCTCAAAACTGGATCTGAGAGGCGCTTACAATCTAGTTAGAATTCGCGAAGGTGACGAATGGAAGACAGCCTTTCGAACTCGCTTCGGGCATTTTGAATACCTGGTGATGCCTTTTGGTCTCTGTAATGCCCCAGCAACCTTCCAACACCTTGTAAACAATATATTTCGGGATCTATTCATTATCATTTACCTGGATGACATCTTAGTTTTTTCCAGTTCAATAGAA